GCGGGCAGGCCGGGGGGGGGGCGCCTCTGCCCCAGCCTGTCAGTGCCAGGGGCTGGCAAGGTGCCTGGAGTGATGGTAACTGCGCTGACGTACCATCCACTGGCCCCAATGTTCAGCATGCTGGAGGATCAGGCCCCAAATCCGTACAGGGAGTTGCATTTAGGTGCTACCAGTTAACCCTCTCTAGTCCAACACTCTGGTCTGGCAATATCCGTGGTCCGGCGTGATTTTAGTTAGCCGGAAGTCCACTTATCACAGGTGTGGCCAAGTTTCCTGCTGTCCCATAACGTTTGTTTACAGACACTAGTCCTGGCTCTCAGTGTTCTGGGCTTTTATTTAGCTCTAATTGAACTCTGAATATCTTCTAAGAGCCCAGTAAGCAGTAGAAGTGTTTATAACAATGCTAGACAATACTGACCTCCTGTGCAATGGCAAATTCTCTGGATTGGCACCAATCAGGTACCAACGGTGCTGAACTAGAGAGGTTCAACCTGTAGTGATTTCCTCTGTCACAGACAGGCAGAGAGACAGGATCTTGGAACCAGACTTTGCAATATGCAGATGAACTCAGTTTGAAAACACTAGGGCTGTGTCTAGACTGCATCCCTTTTCCGTAAAAGGGATGCAAATTAGACATATCGCAATTGCAAATGAAGCGGGGATTTAAATCTCCCCCACTTCATTAGCATAAAAATGGCTGCCGCTTTTTTCCGGCTCGAAGCTAGGCCGGAAAAAAGCGCCAGTCTAGACGCGGATCTTTCAGAAAATAAAGCCTTTTCCGAAAGATCCCTTATCCCTCATTTTAAGAGGGATAAGGGATCTTTCGGAAAAGGCTTTATTTTCCGAAAGATTCCCTCATTTTAAGAGGGATAAGGGATCTTTCGGAAAAGGCTTTATTTTCCGAAAGATTCCCTCATTTTAAGAGGGATAAGGGATCTTTCGGAAAAGGCTTTATTTTCCGAAAGATTCCCTCATTTTAAGAGGGATAAGGGATCTTTCGGAAAAGGCTTTATTTTCCGAAAGATCCGTGTCTAGTCTGGCACTTTTTTCCGGCAAAGCTCCGAGCCGGAAAAAAGTGGCAGCCATTTTATGCTAATTAAGCGGGGGAGATTTAAATCCCCGCTTCATTTGCAATTGCGATATGTCTAATTTGCATCCCTTTTACGGAAAAGGGATGCAGTCTAGACACAGCCTAGGGTAAAACTCTTACCTTGCAAGAAGGGCAGGATTGGGCCCTAATCCTACGCACCTGTTTTGCTGATAATTCAGGATCTTTAACAAAAAATTCACTGAATTGAATAGCGCTTCAGTTTGCTTGTCAAAAACACATCTAACTGTGCTCACGGTGGGGCTGAAGCCTCTCTCCCCTCATTTCTCTTTTGTAGCTACCGGAAACTAGCCTTGAAGAACCATCCTTTAAAAAATAAAGAACCTTGGGTGCCAGATAAATTCAGGCAGCTCGCAGAAGCCTACGAAGTGCTGAGTGATCGTAAGTAGGAACATCTTTCTTTTCCCACAGATAAACCGTGCAGTTCAAGGAGAAGGACTGGAAAGTCACATCCAAGAACAGAGTACACTTACTGCAGGGGGATTTCATTAGGCAGGCACATCATGTCCTTTGGTTTGTTGCCATGCTGGTTAGCTTTTATACCTCTGTCTGTCTGTCCATGTCAGTTACTTAATTGTTTATCTATTGCATGCAGCACTGATCCCTGCTCCTGCAGTCTGATCCAGGCTGGTGTATTTAGAATGTGTTTGGAGACCTACTGATTTCACTAGCATGGATTCAAGGGCCTGCCTGTGCTAGTCAGATTGCAGAAGCAGGGCCTAATGCAATGCGGTGGCTAAGAGAACTAGCATGAACCTTGGGTGCGGAAGTAGGGATGTTATATTATCTCTGTTTACAGCACTGGAGAAACCATTGCTGGAAAACTGTCTCCAGTTCTGGTGTCTTCACTTCAAAGAGGATCCTGAAAAATTGGAGAATGGAGAAAAGAGCTCTAATGTTTCAAGATCTGGAAAACATGCTTTATAGTAGGAGTAAATGCATCTTAATCTGTTTAGATTTAGCAAAGAGATAGTTAAGAGGTGACTTGATCATGGTCTGTAGCAGTGGCTCTCAACCTACCTTGACAACTGCATCTGGGTCAGCTGTCTGATTTATCTACCATAGTGGTTTTCAAACTTTTTTTCTCATGATCCAGTTGAAGAAAATTGTTGATGTCTGTGACTCAACATTATTTAACTAGAGTGTGGGTTCCAGAGTGGGGCTGAGGATGAGAGCTTTGGGTGTAGGTGGGGGCTCTGGCTTTGAGGCTGTGGCTGGAAGCAGGGGCAGATGACCATTTTGCGGGGCCCAGGGAAGCATAATTTTGCGGGGTCCCCCTTTGCCACGGCGCATGTGCAGCGACGCAACGCGCATGCGCGGTGGCACCACGGCGCATGCGCGGGGCTTTGTGAAGCGTGGGGCCCAGGGCGGCTGCCCCGCTTGCCCTGCCCTATATCCGCCCCTGGCTGGAAGTGCTTACCTTGAACGGCTCCTGGTCAGCAGGGGTGGTACGGCAGGCTTCCTGCCTCTCCTGACATTGCAGACATGCTGCACCCTAGAAAGAGCTAGCAGCAGGTTCCCAGCCAATGGGAGTGTAGAGTTAGTGCACAGGGCAGAGGCAGTGCCTGGAGCTGTGTGTGCTCTGCCCCCCATTCCACCTAGGAGCTTTTGATATGGTCACCCACAATATTCTTGCCAGCAAGTTAAGGAATATGGATTGGATAAATGGACTGTAAGACAGACAGAAAGCTGGTTAGACCAGGATTTCCCAAACTTTTTACTTTAGTTGGAACCCTTTTTTTTCAGGACTGTTTTTTGCAGCCCAAAAATATAAACACATAAAAAACAAACTGAGAAACATGTAACATATTTACCGCCATCGACAGAACTGCCGAGTTCTGTCATATAGTTGACGTTATGGCAACAGAACTCAGCGGTAGTGTAGACGCAGGTATAGTTGACTACATATTGACAAAACCCTGTAGTCTAGACACACCCTGTGACTCAGGACGTCACACAAAAACTCCTCTCTAGTCTTTTCTTGGATGATTATTTGACCTTTTAAGGCACTCCACAGGCGTTAGGTCCTGAGATGTAAAAGAGTAGGTGAGTCAACTACTCGCATTTCCCCCCCCCTTTGCTGCCTCTGTATCAGAGGTAGCAAGGTAGGGGGCGTGGGCTTAAAAGTTGGTTCCCCCCCCAGCACCTTCTCTGTGGTGGGGGAGGGCGGGGGAGGCAGAGGCACAGTGGCACTGCTGCTCTACCTTTTAAATGTAGTAAGAGGTGCAGTAGGGGACCTGCTTCAGTCCCACTCGGTCCCATGCTGTGCCTTTACTTTTTAAATGTAGTAAGAGTCAGGTGGCTCTCACTACATTTAAAAGGCACAGCTGCAGCAGTCTGGACTCGGTGCAAGCCGGGACTGAAGCAGGTGGCTCTTACTACATTTAAAAGGCAGCGCCGGAGGTGGGTTAGCTCCCAGGGGTGACATGAGCTGGGACTGCTTCATCCCAGCTTATGCCGCCCATGGGAGCTAATCCGGCTGCGGCCCTGCAGTTTAAATGTAGTAGGAGCCAAGTTGCCATCTGGCTCCTACTACATTTAAACTGCAGAGCCACAGCGGGAGCAGTAAGTGCCCCTCCCTTATTGACTAATCGAGTAGTTGATGGAAATTCCATCGACTACTCATAGACTCATAGACTTTAAGGTCAGAAGGGACCATTATGATCATCTAGTCTGACCCCCTGCACAGTGCAGGCCACAAAATCTCACCCACCCCTCCTAGAATAATCCTCTCACCTATATCTCAGATACTGAAGCCCTCAAATACTTTGAAGACCCCAAGATGCAGAGAATCCTCCAGTTGTGATCTGTACCCCATGCTACAGAGGAAGGCGAAAAACCTCTAGGGTCTCTGCCAATCTACCCTGGAGGAAAATTCCTTCCCGACCCCAAATATGGCGATCAGATAAACTCTGAGCATGTGCGCAAGACTCACCAGCCAGACACCCAGAAAGTTCTTTATAGTAACTCCTATCATCCCTCCATTGACCTATTTCCCACTGATAATGAATGGTCAATTAGTTACCAATCAAAATAATCTGATTAGTTACCAATCAAAATCATCTGATTTTGCGGAAAAACTTGGCCAGCTGTCTACACTGGCCGCTTGAATTTCCGGAAGAGCACTGACGATCTCCTGTAAAATCATCAGTGCTTTTCCGGAAATACTATGCTGCTCCCGTTCGGGCAAAAGTCTTTTTCCGAAAGACTTTTGCGCGAAAGGGCCAGTGTAGACAGCACAGTACTGTTTTCCGCAAAAAAGCCCCGATTGTGAAAATGGCGATCGGGGCTTTTTTGCGGAAAAGCGCGTCTAGATTGGCCACGGACGCTTTTCCGCAAAAAGTGCTTTTGCAGAAAAGCATCCTGCCAATCTAGACGTGCTTTTCCGAAAATGCTTTTAATGGAAAACTTTTCCGTTAAAAGCATTTTCGGAAATTCATGCCAGTCTAGACGTAGCCTATGATAGCAAGGTGCTTCCCACGCCTGATCCTCTTGTGAGCACTTTGCCCAGTTATTGTAACTGCATTGGCATTGGGGTATAGAATATAGGTGTGTATATGCTTATGTTTGTATTTTGGATGTAATTTACCCCTAGCAGCCTTTGGAACTAATAAAGGAATACTTGTGTGAAAACTGTGTCATGGGAAACTTTAATAAGCTTATTAAGAAAATGATTTGTAACAGACTTCTCTGTGGTTTCCATTCTGGGTCTTGGATGAGAAGAGGGTATCAACCACCTTTCCCTGGATCATTCAGTGTATCTCCGTTCCCCAGCTGGGAGAATGAGTCTTTAAGATTGGATCTAAGGATGCGACTCCTATAGGAAGTTGCAACCACACTGGTACAATAGCATCCTTTCTGCTACTTTGGGCTTTCTGAAGTCAAGGAGAATGCTTAATGATGGCTTTGGGCAACTGAACCGACCTGAATCTAGAACGGTATACTTTCATCTGACACAAATGATCAAAGCTTTTGCACATCTACTAATGCCTCTTTCTCCCTTAGCTGTGAAGAGGGCCATCTATGATAAATTTGGAGAAGAGGGTCTCAAAGGAGGGATCCCCTTGGAATTTGGAAGTGAAAACCCCTGGTCTGTTGGCTATGTGTTTCATGGCAATGCTGAGAAAGTCTTCAAGGAGTTCTTTGGTGGCGATAATCCCTTTTCCGGTAAGTATAATCCCTTCCTCATATGCTTCATGGTATGCTTTTATGGTGATTGTCCCAAGTATAGTCTCTTCAACAGAACCAACCCTGTCACTGTCAAGAAGTGGGTTAAAGTTTTGCATAGTCACATGGAAACCAGACTCTGTGCTTTTGCCTTTACCACCATCAGGCCTCAAGAATTCCACTTTGAAGGTCAGGTTTTACCTGACCTGTAACGCCACCCCATATCTCCACGGAAGCGTTGTTGGGCAGTGCTTTAAACCACACATGTAGAATTTGTCATGTCTTCACCAGAATCCAGTATTGTCTCTTGAAAATTCCTTGGGCCAAATAATGGTAACTACCATAATCCTGAGATCCAGAGACTTTAATGCCATGCTGTGGCCAGCCACTAGGTGGTGATAAAGAGTCGTAAAGCATGTCTTCAATTTCTCCTGTAATTGAGACCATCAGTACTGAGACATTCTCAGCCCCAGATTACTCATGTGTATGTCTCCTTCATGAAAGCACACCGTGGTCTAAGCTGAGGTCAGGACACTCACAAGGTCTGATGGAAAGGTTTCTTCCCAATCTGGTGAAGTTTTCAAACAAACTGAAGCCTTTATATTGTAAATCTGCACAAGTAAGTTTACAGTCCTTTTGGGGAGGTCCCAGGGTCAGGTCCCAAAGATTTGCAATTTACAACAAACAGCCATGCTGAAAGCAAGAAGGTTGTTACGGGTAAGGTACCTGTCTGTCAGTCAGGTGACATAGGGTTTGTTCCCTATTTTGCCATTGACTCACTTGGCAGTCTTGGACAAGTCACTTAACATCACTATGCCTCAGTTTATTTAAATGGGGCTAATAATTCTTATTGTCTCACCTCTCAGAGGAGTTGGGAGGCTTACTTCATAAATGTTGTCAGTCCTTGAATGGAAGGTATCTCAGGAGAGCAAAGTCTAGTTATTGATGTTAGGGCTTAGATGGTGGAATGAAAACTTAAAAGTTTTTCCCAATGAAGAGGCAAAACCTGAAGGCTGCGTCTAGACTGGCATGATTTTGTGGAAATACTTTTAATGGAAAAGTTTTTCTGTTAAAAGTATTTCTGCAAAAGAACGTCTATACTGGGCACGGATGCTTTTGCGCAAAAAGTGCTTTTGCACAAAAGCATCTGTGACCAGAATAGACGCGCTTTTGCTCAAGAAAGCTCTGATGGCCATTTTAGCCATCGGGCTTTTTTGTGCAAAAAATTAAGGTGCCTGTCTACACTGGTCCTCTTGCGCAAGTATTCTTGCGCAAGAGGGCTTATCCCTGAGCGGGAGCGTCAAAGTATTGGCGCAAGAAGCACTGAATTCTTACATTAGAACGTCAGTGTTCTTGCGCAAATTCAAGCGGCCAATGTAGACAGCTGGCAAGTTTTTGCGCAAAAGTGGGCGCTTTTGTGCAAAATCCTGCCAGTCTAGATGCAGCACTAATGTTTATGTTTGATTAGAAAGGTGGGGAGGGGGATTATAAAACTTTCCTAAACAAAGGGAGTGACAACAACTTCAGGGATTCCTGGAAGAAACAGGAATTCCTTTTCCATGAGCATAAATACAGAATACATAAATAACCAGGGGGTTGTGCCCCCTGCTTGCTACACTTCTCAACCCCCCTCTTGTGGGGGGGGGGGTAGGCAACCCCAGCTCTCCCCCTGGCCAACAGGGAGGGTTGACTGCGGTCGTGCCAGCCCAGGCCATTTCTCGCTGCCCCCGCCCTCGCCAGCCCAGGCCTCCTCTCCGTCGCCAGCCGCACCAGCTGCCCCCACTTGCCTCCAGCCTGGATTCTTTCTCTCCCACCCCCCGGGCCATGCCAGCCCAAGCCCTTTCTCCACTCTTCCCCGCCCACCCAGTCGCTCCAGCCTGGGCCCTTTCTCCTCTTTCCCACCTACCCCCCGAGTTGCGCCAGCCCGAGCCCTTTCTCCTCTCTGGGCCCTTTCTTTCCCCCTCCCGTCTCCCCCACCACGGCCTAACTCTAACTCCCCTTGTCCCAGCTGAGGCTGTGCCATGCCCCTCTCTGCCCTCGGCGGCAGGGGAAAACTGGGCCATGGTGTGCCAGGCCTGGCTCTGCCCCTGCAGCTGGGGAAGTCCGGGCCACGGTGAACCAGGCCCAGCTCTGCATGTAGCCACTGGATAGGGCTGGGCTCGCAGTGGGTGGGGCTTGGCTCCAGGGATGGGCCCTGGGGTGGAAGGGGTGGTGCTGGGGGTGGTGCTTTATCTGCCCATGTGTATCCTCCCAGCCTGTGGACACTGTGATGTGTTGATGTCACTGTGTTGTCCCTCAGGACATTATATATACATATGTATAACATACATAAATTCATGCTTTTCACATTCAGAACATTTTGCAAACATTCACAGTTATCCTAGCAAGTAGAATGGTGAGATCACCCCCATTTTACAGAGAAACTGAGGCATGGGGAGATCTTTTTGAAAATTGCCTAAAGCCATCAGTGTCTTGGATTGCCCCACTTGATGGGTGATTGATGTGAACCACCTTGAGCCTGATTTTCAGAGATACCAAGCACCCACAATACCATCTGAAATTGGTAAGAACTGGGTAGGGGAGGTTTGTGGGCATTTATGTTCAGCCCGGCATGCCTCAGGCTGGGCATCTTAAAACCAAGACACTTATGACCTAAGTGACTTGCCCAAGGACAAAGAGGAGATTCACTATCACAGTTAGGAGTAAAACGCAGGCATGCCTGTCTCTCAGACCTATGCTCAGCCTGCTAGCTCACACCACTCTCAGCTAATGGTGTGATTGCATCTACATTTATTTCTGCATCATTGAACATAAGAATAGCCATCCTGAGTGAGACCACTGATCCATCTTACCCAGTATCCTGTCTTCCAACAGTGGCTAGTGCCAGAGGCTTTCAAAGGGGAAGAACAGAGGACGGCAGTGATCAAATGATCCATCCCATCATCCAGTCCCAGCCCTGGCAGTTAGAGGCTTAGGAACCCCCAAAGCGTGGGATTGCATCCATGTGCATCTTAACTAAGAGACATTGAAGGAACCATCCTCCTTCTCTAACTCTTTTTTGAACTCTGTTATAGTTTTGGCCCTTACAACATCTCCTAGCAATGAATTCTATATATTGACTGTGCTTTGTTTGAAGATGTTCTCCCTTTTGCTTGTTTTAAACCTGCTGCTTATTAATTTTATTGAGTTACCCATGGTTCTGTTGTTATGTGAAGGGGTAAACAGTATTTCCTTATTCATGTCATACCATTCATGATTTTATAGACCCCTGTCCATCTCTCTCTATAATCATATCTTTTCCAAGATGACCAGTCTCAATCTGTTTAATCTCTCCTCATATAGAAGCTCTTCCATATCCCTAATCATTTTTGTTGCCCTTCTCTTTTCCCAGTTTTCCATTTATATTGTATCTCTTTTCAGATGAGGCGACTAAAACGGCATGTAGCGTTCAAGGTGTGGGAGCTCCATGGATTTATATCATAGCATTGTCATACTAACTGTCATCTTATCTGTCCTTTTCCTAATTGTCAGTATCATTATGTTCATTCTTTACTGCTGCTACACACTGAGCGGATGTCAGATCTATGCATGATGACTCCGAAATCTCTCTGTTGTGTGTAACAGCTCATTTAGACCCCGTTGTTTGTATGCACAGTTGGGATTCTGTTTTCCCATATGCACAGAATTCTTCACTCCAGATGGATCTGAGGTGAACACAGCATTCGGGGGGCTGCGAGGAAAAGGGGTGGCAAAGCAGGACCCCCCAATTGAGCGAGATCTCTACCTGTCGCTGGAGGACCTGTTCTACGGATGCACCAAGAAAATTAAGATTTCTCGCAGGGTAAGGAAAGATGGGGACTGAATTAGACATAATTCTGAATCGGTGGCATTAGGGGTGTGATGGCTGCAGGAAGGGAGTCTGTAGTGGAAGAGCAGTTCCTTACCACTGGGATGGGTTGTATGTTTCACTAGAAGCCAGGGCATTGGAAGTTTCACTGAAATCTGGGGATGTGACTGATTAGTATATTCTGTGGTAGTGTTTTCCAAGTCCCAGGCGACAGGGGGATGGACAGGTGAGGAGTAGCCTACGCCGTGAGTGATGCAGGGCAGATCAGGCTCGCTCGCACTGAATAGAGCAATAGGTTCAGGCAAGACCCCAATAGCCAGTTTCAGGGCTTTCCCTGGTGATGTGGGACCCTGTCCTATTACCAGAACGCAGGAGGCCCTGCTGGAAGTTTTGTCCCATGCCGCATCAAGCAGGGTACAGGAAAAGGCTTGGGTTTCCTTAGCGTTGACATAACAGGTTTGTGACTCATTGCCTGCCATCAACAAGGCTCGGAGGGGTTGGTGGGTTGTGCTGGCGATCAGACTGCCTTGAAATTAACAAAAAACAATCCCCAAACATGAAGTCCAGTGACTCACTGGTAGCTCACTAAGGTCCAAGGGAAATTCAGTGCAAATATTAATCTCTGTGGCAGACTCCATTGAGGTAGCACAGGAGTAACTGGGAGCCACATTTGTCTCCAAGTGGGCCTGCTTTTCCATCCATCCTGCTGTGCCCTCTGTGTGTTTTGCCCCTTTCCCCCAACCTTTTTCAGGGGGCCCAATCTTGGTTGGTCCCAAGATGCTACTGTAATAACCCAGTTTGCCAATCTGTCTAAGCACAGAAGCTCTGCAATCCAAGCAAGTAACTGATTTTGGCTTCTAAAGACAATTGTCCACACAGCTGGTGCTGTATCACTGGTATCCTTGCCAAACAAAGGCCCAGGTTGCCTAGAAACAGATCAAACTGGATGGCCCCAATCAGCTGTTTCAAACCCTAGGTGATGAATGAAGACGGTCACACGTCCACCATCAGAGATAAGATCTTAACGATTGACGTGCAGCCAGGGTGGAAGCCAGGCACCAGGATTACATTCCAAAAAGAAGGAGACCAGGTAATTTACAAAGACTGTCGGATGCTCTTGCTATAACTGCTGGACACAATGTCATCAGTACTTCCTGGAACATTCACTGTTTGCTGATACCTTGTGTTTCTGTTGCACAATCTAAATGTGCTGACAAACACTAACCAACAAAAAAACCAACAAATGGTCTGGTAGCACTTTATAAACTAACAAAACATGTAGAGGGTATCATGAGCTTTTGTGGGCACAGCCCACTTCTTCAGATGACCGGAGTTTTGAGTTTAGGATGTGCAGACCCAAAATAAATAGGAGAGGGGGGGGATAAAAAAAGAGGGGGGTAGGAGACAGGGAGCTAGAGGGAATCAGTAAGTATCTGAAGGTTGGGTAGTTAAAACAAAGCAGATAAGGATCAAAAGTCAATTGATAGTATCCTTCCTGACATAAGAGTCTACACAAAGAGCTGTTTGCACCTTCAACGACTGTTAAGTTGATAGTGCCCCAACCATCCTTCATCACGATTGAGTCCATTAGCATGTGAATTGAATTTGCTGTTGAACTCTAATTCCAATGTTTCTCTGTGTATCTGGCTAGTAGAACTGGTTTGTGACAAGACAGCCACTTGATCTTTTAAACTGTGATTAGGAAGATTCAAGTGTTCCCCTATAGGTTTCTGTATGTTTCCTTTACGTGTATCTGATTCTTTCCCGCAGAGACTGTCCAGTTTGTCCAATATATATAGCAGTGGGGCACTGCTGGCATTTGATGGCATAGATCAAATTACTGGATGTGCAGTCAAATAACGTTTTGATTTGGTTTCTTATGTTGTTGGCTCCAGTGATGAATTCACTAGTATAGATATGTGGGCAGAGTTGGCATTATGTTTGGTTGCAGGGCTGGGTTCCTGGATGCTTATGATGTGGTTGTGTTGCATGGATACTGGAAAGAATTTGTTTCAGGTTGGGAGGTTGTCTGTAAGCAGAATAGGCTTTTCTCCCAAGGCCTCTGAGAGTGAGGCATCATTTTCCAAGATGGGTTGTAGATTGTGTATAATGTGCTGGGGGGGTGTGTCTGAATTGTGGACTATATGTAATAACAAGAGGAGTTCTGTTATTTTCTCTTTTGAGTCTGTCTTGAAGTAGTTCATGTTTGGATACTTTTTTGGCTCTGTCAATTTGTTTTTTCATTTCTCCAGGTGGGTATTTCAGTTTTAGGAATGCTCTGTAAAGATCCTGTAGGTGATTGTCTCTGTCTATGGGGTTGGAGCAAATCCGGTTGTATCTTAGGGCTTGGCTGTATACAATGGACTGAGAAATGCACCCGGGATAGAAGCTGGAGGCATGAAGGTAAGTATAGCAGTCAGTGGGTTTCCGGTATAGGGTGGTGAACATTTGTCCATTATTTAACTGTACTGTAGTGTCCAGTAAGTGGATTTCTCATGTGGACTGGTCCAGGCTGATGTTTATGGTGGGGTGAAAGTTGTTGAAATCCTTGTGAAATTCTTCAAGTCTCTTTTCCGTGGGTCCATATGATGAAGATGTCATCGATGTAGCATAAGTAGAGTAGGGGTGTTAGGGGGCGAGAACTGAGGAAGCGTTGTTCAAAGTCAGCCATAAAGATGTTGGCATATTGTGGTGCCATGCGAGTGCCGCTGACTTGGAGATAGAAATTGTCTCCGAATTGGAAGTAGTTGTGGGTGAGGACAAAGTCGCAGAGCTCTTTTAATCAGGTATGCAGTGTTGTTATCGGGGATGTGTTCCTGATGGCCTGTAATCTGTCTTTGTGTGGAATGTTGGTGAAAAGGGCTTCTACATCTATGGTGACCAGGATGGTATTTTCAGGTAGATTACTGATGTTTTCTCAGGAAGTCAGTGGTGTCGCGGAGTTAGCTAGGAGTGCTGGTAGCATAGGGTCTGAGGAGGGAGTCGACATAGCCAAATAATCCTGTGGTGAGTGTGCCAATGCTTGAGATGATGGGCCATCCAGGATTACCAGGATTGTGTATTTTGGGTATCAGATAGAAAGTTCCTGGTTGGGAATTAGGGGAAGTGTTAGTGTAAATTTGTTCCTGAGCACCATCAGAGAGCTTCATGAGCAGTTTTTTCATGTGTTTTGGTATTCCTTAGTGGGGTCACAGGAGAGAGGCCTGTAGAATCTGGTATTGGTGAGTTGTCTGTTCGCCTCCTGTTCATAATCTGTCCTTTCATGATGACTACAGCATCCTCTTTGTTGGCCTCTTTAATTATGATGATACGATTGGTTTTGAGGCTGTGAATAGCATTGCGTTCTGCATGACTGAGGTTGCATGTTATATGTTGTTGTTTGCTGATGATGTCAGCTCGAGCATGTTTGTGGAAGCAGTCGATGTAGAAATCAAGACTTTCATTACACCCCTTGGTGGGGGTCCACATAGAAGCCCTCCTCTTGTGGGAATGGCAGGGGGAGCAGGGAGGTCAGTATGTTGTATATATACAGCGTGTTGGAAATATTCCTTCAGGTGGAGGCGACGAAAATAGGATTCCAGATCCCCACAGAACTGAATCATATTTGTGTGATGGGGGCACACCCACAACCAACAAGCCACAAAACATGCCCGAAGCATTATGTCTATTTTAAGATGAAGCACAGAGAGTCTATGGGGCAGATTTTTTTTATATTGCCTAAGGGCTTTAGGAACACAAGTCCCATGCAGGAGCCAGTCTTAGCACCGACAGAGACTCCTGCCATCAAATCACATAACCTCCTTGCCTCAGTTTCCCCATCCGATAACCCTCCCCTACCTCAGCAGGGCATTGTCAGGATTAACTAATTTAGATTTGTTGGATGCTTTGATGACAAGGGGCCCGACTCTCCACTGAGATCCAGCCCTGTGGTTCTGCTTAGGCCTTCTTGAGGGCCCAGAATCCATTTACACGTAGCCAGCTAGGCATTCTCCTGGCACTGGAGGACCATAAAACTAAAACTGCTAGCTTGAAGCTGAAGGAGGTGGCCTCTGCATTCCCTGCCCCCCATTTAGCAGATGTCGGGAGAAAGGGGAGCCTGGCCAGTGGAAAAGAGTCGAGCAGCCTCTTGGCTGCTGTCGCTCTCAGTGGGGTTGGGCTGGCACAGACAGCCCTCAGTACTGGGGAGCCGTAACTGAGAACCAGGTCCCAGAAATGCAAGATGTCAAAGTTGTTGGGTGAAAGTCACCCCATACAGAGTGTGCGCACCAGGCTCAGGCTTCACTTCACACATCCTATTTGAGTGCTTAAGTGGGATTTAGCTGAAGCATGTGGCGTGTCCTGGCCCTCTGCGTGGGGTGAAGGGAGAGCATACAGCAGTGGTCAGTACAGAAATTATATCCAAAAAACTACATTAAAAGAATGACCTTACGGTTGCAAAATCAAGCTATTAGCCGGGCATGGACAACAGGAGGTAGATCTTTTATTCTGCTCATTCGCTCTGAAGTACCCAGCACTGGCCACTGTTGGAAAGCTACTGGGTCAGATTGACCATTGGTTTGACCCACCATAACCATTCTTATGTTCTCATGTTAAGCGCTCATTTGCTGGGAAATTCCAGAATTAAGGTTGCTTGTGCAAGAATATTCTTTTGGTGGCTTCAGTAATTGGCTTTTTGCAACATTTGTGATCTCTCATCTAAATACAGTAATTACTCATTTAACATGTGCCCACTTAACACATTTTCATGATAGCACGATTTTTTTTAGGGACTACATTTTTTTTTGAATAACACGACTGTCCCCGAAATAACACGAAAAAAAATCAAGTGGTGGACTACTTTGTGCAGCGGTATAAATTATGAAAACAGCGGTAATACAGTAGACTTCTGATAACCCGGTGTACCAGGAGGTACTATAAGGCGGCTGCCGGGACCCGCGCTGCATCCAGTGAGGGGGGGGATCGGAGGGGAACGGCACAGCGTGCGGCGAACTCTCCGCCTCTTTGCAGGGAGGCAAAGGAAGCCCCACCCAGCCGTCAGCGACAGGCCGGCTGGGAAAACCCAGCTGCCGGCCTGCAAGCGGGGGCGAAGGAGAGGGGGTGAGGCATCCAGGGAGCCCACGTCCTCGGATGCCTTGCTCCCTCTCCTCTGCACCCGCTTGGCGGTTCCCCCGGCTGCCCTGTCGCTGTCAGCTGCACGGGGCTTCTCCCCTTTCCCCTCCCCCCCCCACAAAGCAGCGGAGGGTTCGCCACTCACCACGCCGTTCCCTGCCGACCCCCGCATCGCTGGACACAGTGTGGGTCCCGGCAGACCTGTCACGGGCATATTCCCAACCCAGTCCCCCTCCCCTCTCCTCCCTTTCCCTTCCCCAGAGCCAAACACCTCCCCTCCCTGCTGTAACCCAGTCCCCTTTCTCCCTCAACCTTATGTCCTGGTCTCAAGGCAGCTGCCTGTGCTCAGTGGCCAGCTGCTAGCATGTGCAGGCTGGAGCCGCGAGCACACATGCGTCTCACAGCAGCCTGGCCGAGAGAGTAGCTGACCGGAGCACTTCCGGGTTTCAGTTGATGCTGGACAATTGGATGCTGGACAATTGGAATTTTACTGTACAGTACAACGTCTAATGTTGACATTGACGACTCAGCACCAACAGAAAATTGACTTCGACACTACCGCTTGAAACGCAACCCCCCACCTTTTCCGTTATTTTCAATGGGAAAATTGACCCCGCATAACACGTTTTCGCTTAGCACGATCATTGTCTGAAACGTAGCTACCATGTTAAATGAGGAATTACTGTAGTACAGGAGAAGTACCAGTTTTCCTGTAGCAGAACTAGTTTTCTTACTTTATTTTGTTTACAAATATTTTAAGAGTCCTGCAATAAGGGAAAACAAGAGTATGTAAGCAAGAACCTGACTCTTTAACAAAGACAACTTTTGTCCCAAATGTGTAGCAGATGTTAAGAGTTTAAAAGGCCTTTGTATAAACAAAAAGGGTTTTAAACAATCCAATTAAAATCCTTTCCCTTTCTCAGTTGCTGAGGTTTTGCTTCCTTGTGTTTGTGATGTCATGACCTCACTTCCCAATACAGGTGCTGAAACTAGGGGTGTGAGGGACTGCAGCAACCCCTGGCTTGAAGAGGTTTCCATTATATACAGGGTGTCCAGTTTGATTCAATGGATCGCAGAACCCCCACTACACTAATTGTTCCAGCCCCTCTGCTTCTCAGGCCTTCTTGAGAGGTCAGAAATAAGCCAAAAAAGGGGGCAAAGACCTGATTATCTTTCCCCCTAAACTGGGCCTGTGTTTGCCAGATACTGACCTGCTTCTTGGTTTATTGTATTTTAGGGCCCGAACATTATCCCTGCTGATATTATCTTCATTGTACGAGAGAAACTCCATCCAAGGTTTAAAAGGGAGGATGACAACCTGCTGTATGTAGCCACCATCCCCCTTGGTAAGGTAAGGGTACTGACAAGGCACCTGGGGCCTGATCCAGCTTGCCCATAGGAAAAGGGAGAGATGCACATTGACTCCAGTGGGAAATGGATGGTGTCTTTCCTTTTCCTTTTCCTTTTCCTTTTCCTTTTCCTTTTCCTTTTCCTTTTCCTTTTCCTTTTCTTACCTTCCCATAAGGCAGCAGGGTTTGTATGTTGACAGCAAACTGCACTGGAGGTGAAAGGAATCACCAGTTTATAATTGGACCAAACAGAGTCTGGGCCAGCCAATCAGATTGCTGGGAGGCTGCTTATTACTTACCATCTTAATTTTTAGCTTTTATTGATTAACTGTTCTTGAGTTGACTGAAGTCATCCTTGATCGTACAGGAGAGAACAGAAGATCTGGGTGCCTCATTTTAATGCACTGCGATATGGAGTTTTGCATCTGCAGATACTACCATCATGCCTGCAAATACATCTAATTATCTCTGTGTGTATGTGCATGTGTGTGCACGTATGCATGCACATACACTCTCCTGGTAGCTGTACATGCCAGTTAGATGTGCAATCACATGTATCAACTGTATGAAAATAAGGCCCCAGGAATTCAGTATATACAGTATTCTTTCTTTATTTAGTGCTCAAAAGTGTGTTGGGCTCTTGTCAGAACAAAGACTTGATCCTTGTCCTAAAAGGTAGGCATCTTATTGATTATCTATTAATGGCTAATGCCTGTTGTTTCTCAATAGGCACTGCCCATACCAACCTGAAACAGCGCACCTCCCCAGTTTTGTAATGTCATACATAATAGATGGAGGGAGAATTCCTTGCAGTCCCCTTCTGTTGTCCATTCATGCCCTGAAGCATAGTTTTCGGCCATGTGACCCTGATTTCTGCTGAATGTGCAATTACTGGTGGTGGTATTGGTCACAGTGTTAACCAGCTGTAGTTACAATGTCCCATGGACAAGCCAGAACAGCACAATGAGCAATTGTAACTCTGCTGCTTATGCTCTAATACCCTCATAGATTTGTTAGTCTTTAAAAGGCTCCCAGACTCCTTTTTGTTTTCACTGCACAAATATTCAGTATGTGTTAGGAAATAGGTCATTAAAACTAGAATTCCACTCAGAGTGTCAGGTGCACGAGTAGCTCAGACAAACTGGAGAAATGGTCTGAGGTAAACAGGATGAAAATCAATAAGGACAAATACAAAGTAATCCAATTAGGAAGAAGATAACATCAGAGCATAAGAACGGCCATACTGGGTCAGACCAAAAGTCCATTTAGCCCAGTAGCCTATCCTCCAACAGTGGCTAATGCCAGATGCTCCAGAGGGAGTGAACAGAACAAGCAATGATTAAATGACCCCTCTCCTGTCATCCATTTCCAGCCTGACAAACAGAGGCTAAGGACACCATTCCTACCCATCCTGGCTAATAGCCATTTATGGACCTAACCTCCATGAATTTATGTAGTTCTTTCTTGAACCCTGTTAAAATTCTGGTCTTCACAACATCCTCTGGCAAGGAGTTCCACAGGTTGACTGTGCACAGCATGAAGAAAAAACTTTCTTTTGTTTGTTTTAAATATGCTACCTATTAATTTCATTTGGTGACCCCCTAGTTCCTGTGTTATGGAAACAAGTAAATTACTTTTCCTTATTCACTTTTTCCACCCCAGTGATTTTATAGACTGTTAGTCTCCTCTTTTCTAAACTGAAAAGTCCCAGGCTTTTTAATCTCTCCTCATATGAGACCCATTCCAAACGCCTAATAATTTTTGTTGCTCTTTTCTGAACCTTTTCCAATGCCAATATATCTTTTTTGAGATGAGGCAACCACATCTGTATGCAGTATTCAAGATGTGGACGTACCATGGATTTATATAGTGGCAATAAGATATTACTTGTCATATTCTCTATCCCTTTTTAAATTATTCCTAACATTTTGTTTGCTTTTTTGACTGCTGCTTCACGTTGAGTGGATATTTTCAGAGAACTATCTACAATGACTCCAAGATCTCTCTCTCTTGACTAACTGTAGTTAAATTCATTCCCATAATTTTGTATGTATAGTTGGGATTATTTTTTCCAATATGCATTACTTTGCAGTTATCAACATTAAATTTCATTTGCAAAAAACTTAGTTTGGTGAGATATTTTTGAAGCTCTTCACAGTCTGCTTTGGTCTTAACTATCTTGAGCAGTTTAGTATCATCTGCAAATTTTTCCACCCCACTGTTTACTCCATTGTCCAGATCACTCATAAATAGGTTGAATAGGATTGGTCCCAGTATGGACCCTTGGGGGACACCACTACTTACCTCTCTCCATTCTGAAAACTTACCATTTATTCCTACTCTTTGTTTCCTGTCTTTTAACCAGTTATCAGTCCATGAAAGGACCTTTCCTCTTATCCCATGACAAATTACTTTACTTAAAGAGCCTTTGGTGAGGGACCTTGTCAGAGGCTTTCTGGAAATCTAAGTACACTATATTCACTGGATCCCCCTTGTCCATATGCTTGTTGATCCTCTCAAAGAACGATAGTAAATTAGTAAAGTATGATTTCTCTTTACAAAATCCATGTTGACTTTTCCCCAACAAATTATGTTCATCTATGTGTCTGACAATTTTATTCTTTACCATAGTTTCAACTAATTTGCCCAGTACTGATATTAGAAGGAGTAATCAGTTTCACACATACAGAATGGGAAGCGACTGTCTAGGAAGGGGTAATGCAGAAAGGAATCTATGGATTATAATGGACCACAAGCTAAATATGAGTCAACAATGTGACATTATTTGAAAAAAAGCAAACATCATTCTGGGATGTATTCATAGAATCATAGAATGCTAGAACTGGGAAGGACCTTGAGAGATTATCAAGTCCAATTCCCTGCCCTCATGGCAGGACCAAGCACTGTCTAGTTGATCCCTGATAGATGTCTGTCTAACCTGCTCTTAAATATCTCCAGTGATAGAGATTCCACAACAGGAGTGGAATTAACAGGAGTGTTGTAAGCAAGACACAAGAAATAATTCTTGTACTCTACTATGTGCTGATTAGGCCTCAAATGCAGTAGTGTGTCCAGGTCAGGGCACCACATTTTAGGAAAGATGAGGACAAATTGGAAAAGGTCCAGAGAAGAGCAACAAAAATGGTAAAAGATCTAGAAAACATGATCTATGAGGTTAGACTGAAAGAACTGGGTTTGTTTAGTTTGGAAAAGAGAAGACTGAGAAAGGACGTGATAACAGCTTTCAAGTACAGGCAGTCCCCGGGTTACGTACAAGATAGGGACTGTAGGTTTGCTCTTAAGTTGAATCTGTATGTAAGTCGGAACTGGCGTCCAGTGGCTGAATCAGGACTCCTGGGGCAGAGCAGCTGGGGCGCTACGGGACCAACTGGCAGCGCCCCAGCTGCTGTACCACAGGTGTCCGGAGCAAAGCCGCGGAGCACGGGGGCAGCGGGACAGCCCAGACGCGCCGTGGCTGTCCTGCTGCCCTTGGGCTCCGTGGCTTTGCTCTGCTTTGCTCCTCGTCCCCCTGGTCGGATCCGCGTAAGTCGGGGACTGCCTGTACCTAAAAGGTTGTTACAAGGATGCAGGAAAAAAATATTTTCCTTAACTTCTGATGATAGGGCAAGAAGCAATGGACTTAAATTGCAGCAAGGGAGAGTTAGCTTGGAGATTAGGAAAAATTTACTAATTGCCAGGGTGGTTTATCACTGGCATAAATTGCCTAAGGAGGCTGTAGAATCTTCATCATTGAGGACTTTTAAGAGCAGGTTAAAAAACACCTGTGAGGGATGGTCTAGATCAGAGCTACTCAACTTTGAAAGCTCCAGAGGCCACAATAATACTCACAGCACATGCTGAGGACCGCAACTTAAGTGTGGCTGCATATACATGCAAATATATATGCAAATATATACAAATAGCTTCTTTCACACTTGCAGGCATGAATACAAAGCACTTCCCACAATGCCCTGGTGCTCCCAGCACCTCCTCCTTGTGCGCTAGAAACGCCGACACCTTGTTCTAGCCAGTCCATCTATTTGCATCTTTCAGTGCTCACCATGCCTGGGAGATGCCTCACCATTGTGGAGCGTGTTCCCAGTGGAGGCCATGTTCAAAGTATCCCACCTGCAGGCTGTGTGTTGAACCCCGTGTAAACCCAAACTGTACCGCAGGCTGCAAACATACAGGCCCACGTGTTGAGTAGCCCTTGTCTAGACAGTGCTTGGTCCTGCTGTGTGTACAGGGGACTGGACTTGATGACCTCTGGAGGTTCCTTCCAGTTCTAGTACTCTATGATTCTATGCCTATACTTTTTCCAAAAGGTCTTTATTTAAAATATCAGCTTCTGGGAGGTCTTGACTAATGACATGGGAGACAATGTTACCTACTGGCTTGCACACTGGACTAGGACTCAGGTGCTTTGGGTTCTGTTCCCACCCTGCCAGTGGTTTTTTGGGTATCTTGGACAAGTCACTTCATTTCTCTGTACCTCTAGTTTGTCTCTGTAAAATGGGGAGAATGACATTTTGCTTCGTTAAGCCCTTTGAGAGCCACAGATGACAAGCACCATGGCAGAACTAGGGATTATCACTAATGCTACGTCTACACTGCTTCCCTCTTGGGGAAGAGGAAATGCAAATGGAGTGCTTATTAGCATATGCCACGCTCTCATTTGCATATCCTCTTCTGATCCTTTTTGTGGAAGAGGTTTTTGCACAAAAAACCCATAGTGTAGAAGGGGCCATTTTGTGCAAGAACTCTGTAAACATCTTTTTTTTGAGGGATAAGGGTTCTTGCCCAAAATGTTTTTTTTGCACAAAATGGCCCCATCTACAGTGCAAAAAACGCAGAAAAACCTCTTCCACAAAAAGGATTGGAAGAGGATATGCAAATGAGAGCATGACATATGCAAATGAGCACTCCATTTGCATTTCCTCTTCTGCAAGAGGGAAGCCGTGTAGACGCAGCCTTTGTTACAATCATCTGTTCTGAAGGGTTCCATGTGTGCTCTGGCCTCTGCCCCCTTTGGTAAAAGCTTGTCTCTTTCTGCATTGCATTTCTTTGCTCACCTGGCCTTTTAGGACAAGGTATTCTCATCTCCTTCCCCATGAAGGCGAGTGATCTAGAAATAGCTTCAGCTTCTCTCCTCATTGCTGACATGTGGACACTCACTGGTACTTTGCCACTTTTTGCCCCACATCCTGTGCGCTAGCTGAGAGGTGTGCAAAATGCAACTTGAGGGAGGGGATGTGCAAAGGTGGTTTTAAGTCCTTCAGTTCTGAGTGGGTTGATCTTATCTACCCAGTGTAATGTTAATCAGCTTGGGGGCTGCACGAATAGATGGAGACCACCAAGGTTGGGGCAGAGCCTCAGCCGTACCTCCTTTTCTCTGGCTACATCCCCTAGCTGGCAGCTGGACATTTGGGTGCATGCGGCACAGAAGCAAATATCCTGACTCTGCACTATCAGGTGTAAAGGGCTATTAGCAGTAGCCTTATTCAGGCTCCATGTATCACACTCTCTTTCAGCCTCTGCCTGTTAATCACTGAACCTCTGAGCTCATTGCCTCGCTGTGTCTTTTGCAGGCTTTGATTGGCTGCACAGTGGATGTGAGGACCCTAGATGACAGACTGCTTAATATTCCCATCAACGATATAGTCCAGTAAGTGCACCACTCCGTACAGAGAGGAGCTACTCTGCTCTCCTTGTGTTCAGAAAGGCTCTTTCATGGCACGGTTAGTAAAGCCTGGGTCTGCTCTGACAAGTGGAGGCAAGATTTTCTGTAGTGTTTTGGGATGCTCAAGCTGCACCAGAGGGCGGGAGTTCAGTGCTCTCCAGCCATCAGGCCCTTTTCGGGGTCTTAGCTTGGGCACTCCGAATCACAGCTCACTTTTGAAAGTCTTTGCCTGGCTGTCAAAATGGCCCCTCCCTCCTAAGCATCTCTGCTCCTCCTAGATCATGCTCTGCATGCACAGTTACATTAAGTCACAAACAACGCCAAGGGTTAGTGCTTTTTCTCCTCTCAGCCCTGCGGAACCCACACTGCCCCAGGAGAGTGACCTGGCTGCTTAACAGGACTGTTACTCTGACTGCTGAATTCTGCCCTCCTCTGTACCCATATGCCTCCACTGGAGGCAGCTCGCTGCACCCACGCAACCTCCCTGTGCTGATGTCACTTGGGGCAGACTGCAGCAATGCCTGAGCCAGTCAAATCCAGATCCCAGGGGTGGCAGGTGGAACAACAATCTGAGAAAATCCAAGCATGGCACAGAGCAAAGAGCAAGCCTGAAAGCCCATTTTAGTGTCATTTTTCAGAGAACAGTGCTTTAAAGAAATTACGACATGCGTCTTTCCAAGTGCGGGGCTACGTATTGCCCACCTAGACCAGCTTCTGCCAGGAGCGGGAGCCACAATTGCTCCTTAATGAGATTAGCCCTCCCCTGTGCACCAAACACCACTGCTGGGCTGTGTCTACATTGGCACCCTTTTCCGGAAAAGGGATGCTAATGAGACAAGTCGGAATTGCAAATGCCGCGGGGGATATTTAAATCCCCCGGGGCATTTGCATGAACAGGGCTGCCGCTTTTTTCCGGCTCGGGGCTTGGCCGGAGAAAAGCGCCAGTCTAGACGGGATCTTTCGGAAAATAAACCCTTTTCCGGAAGATCCCTTATTTCTGATTTTAAGAGGAATAAGGGATCTTCCGGAAAAGGGTTTATTTTCCAACAGATCCTCTCTAGACTGGCGCTTTTCTCCGGCCAAGCCCCGAGCCGGAAAAAAGCGGCAGCCCTGTTCATGCAAATGCCCCGGGGGATTTAAATATCCCCCGCGGCATTTGCAATTCCGACTTGTCTCATTAGCATCCCTTTTCCAGAAAAGGGTGCCAATGTAGACACAGCCCAGCGGTGGTGTCTGGTACACAGGGGAGGGCTAATCTCATTAAGGAGCAATTGTGGCTCCCGCTCCTGGCAGAAGCTGGTCTAGGTGGGCAATATGTAGCACCGCACTTGGAAAGACGCATGTCGTAATTTCTTTAAAGCACTGTTCTCTGAAAAGGGTGCCAATGTAGACACAGCGCTGGGGTGTGTGTGTTTGCTGCAGCCTTAGGTAGTTACTCCCTGCACCTTCCTGCATAATGCTGCTGGCTTTTGCGTTTGCAGCCCCAAGTACTTCAAAATCGTGCCAGGGGAAGGCATGCCTCTGCCCAGTGACCCCACGTGTAAAGGGGACCTCATCATGTTTTTTGATATCCGCTTCCCGGAGAGGCTCACTCCGGCTAAGAAGCAGCTCCTGAGACAAGCACTCCTGACTTGAGGCTGTTGTGAATTCATCTCCATGTGGCCCAAGAGAATAAAGCTTTCTAGATATTTATAGTCATCATGTTGGTTGTATATCAGTGGTGGGCAACCTGTGGCCCATGGACCGAATGTGGCCTGTTGACCCCAGTCTCCCCTCTCTCCCATGCACCTCCTGCACACTGGGGCACTGGAATGGCCTGATTGGTGCTCTGTTCCTCCCCCTGAATACCATGAATCAACTGATTGTGGCTGTTCGGGCTTTGGGATGGAGGGGGAGGAATGCAAATCGGCAGATTCAGGGCACTCTGAAAATGCTGGGAGGGAGGGAGGGGGAGGAGTAGGAAGTGTGGGGCTCCAGTGCATGAGAGGAGTGGGGGAAAGGGGAAGAGAGGAGATGCGTGGGCTGTAGGCAGAACCCTTGTGGGCCCCATGCTGCAGGTTGCCCACCTGCGGCCCGCTGAGATGGAGGGCCACTTATGCGGCACATTCTATGGCCTTGGTTGCCCATCTCTGCTGTATGTTATTGATGTTCTCAATGGCTCTCCCACTGCACACTGTCTTGAAACGGTCACTTCAATGACTGCCTGAAAGGGCAATGAGAGACTCACCCAAGGTTAGTGACAAAACACAAAACTGAGCTCTGCACTGCCGGTGCCGGATAAAGCGCTGCAGCACTTTTTATAACAGCAGGGAACCTGGCTGGCCTGGCCATATTAAATTCCTCCCCACACAGTGTTCTTCATCTTCAGTCCTATACCGCGGTTTGGAGGGATACTGTGCTCAGCTAAAGAGCCGCCATGTTCCTTCCTAGAGGTGGCTGCATTTCTGTAGTGGTTGAAGCAGGGTGCAAAGTGCAGTGCCATGCAGAGAAAGAAACACCTTTCTTTCCCCTTGTTGGAAGGTTTGTTACCTAAAGGGCAGGAGAGCCACTACCCACCCCTTGGCCTAGTGCTGGCCTTAGCACTGGAAATCCCCACCCCCAAAACACAGGCAGAAATCACACCACCGCCCACCACTCAGGTGCTGCTGCCCTCCCTCTGCTCAGCACCAAGCAGATGTCTCCTTGCCCTGGCCTGGTTTCCATCCTGTCCCTCCTCCCCTCCTGTGGCTCTGCCAGGGGCCTTGTTAGGGGGGCAGAGGTGGAGCAGACATTCTGTTTTGGGGAGAGGGGAGTATTTCTGCTTCTTCACAGTTCAAAGGGCTAAATCCAGTGTGGTGTCAAAGCCTGTAGTTATGCTGTGTGCCCTGTAACTGGGTAGAAGCAGTGTAAATCCAGTGATGCTTACAGCAGTTATTGCTGCTTGAAAAGTGGCTTAGTGGAGGCAGTGGTGTTTTACAGGCGCTCGGGAGAAAAGTTGGGAGTGGGAACTTGGGGGCACGCCAGTCAGCGAGAATTCTGCTTAGTGGCAATGGAAGGTGCCCCTCCCCCCAGGACTTTTTACATACTCTACTTCTGTCCCCCTGGTCCCTGACAGTTGAAGAGGCAAGGCAAAAGGGATGGTTACTAACAAGAACTGCTTGCATCGTTTACAAGGAGATAGTCAAAAGGGGGCAAAACTGATCAGAGAAAGTACATTTTCCACGTCTTTAGACTGTGGAACTCACTGCAACAGGAAGTTACTGAGACCAAGAACTTGGTAGGGTTCCAAATGGGGATTGGACACGTAGCTGCATAACAAGAATGGCCTGCGATGCTATAATCAATGAAAGCAACATGATATCCCTTCCCACATGGCACCTTATGCATCAGGTTAGGCCAGTTTCTAACGTGTCGAGATCACAATAGCCGATATCATGCTGAGCCCCTCCCACAAGGGTCAGTGTCAGTTTACAGGTGGGGACCTGACCCCCATCTGCTACTGTGCGGTTGTTTATGCCAGTCTCTGAACCATCTGGTGTCAGGATACGGAGCTAGCAAGGCCTCTGCAGCTCGGAACTAGTTCCTGAGGTCAGCTCCTGCCACTGCGGGATCATCCTTAGGGGTTGAATTGGACGTGTTGGCAGGGCACCAACAAACCCAACAGCCTTGTTGTTAGTGGGACCCCTGCCTTTGTGCTGAGAGCACAAGGCTCACTGCGGAGGTACAGCACCACGCTAGGCCTCACCTCGGGGGCCACTTCCTGTGACTTTGGGAGAGTCAGTTCCTATCTGTGGCTCAGGTTCCCACCTGTAAACTGGCACTGACCCTTATGGGAGGGGCTCAGCAGCTCCAACTACACTCCCTACAGGTTACTGTGACTAACTCTCACCTTTTACCCCCATGACTGAGATAGCAGCGCAACCACTCACCTGCTGCTTACTGGGCTGGGCGGCCCGTTCCCACCGCTCCTTTAACTCACACAGGTCCAGCCACCCTGATTTGAGCCTTCCTGCCCAGCACCCCAGTTAAAGGCAAAGCAAGACCCCCCAAGCCCCACCCCTCATGAAAATAGCTCTGTTTGCAAGGCATCTTGGCAGCACCACTGCAGCTCCTGTTTTCACTGTGCAGTCACAGCTGAGCGCTGCTATTACTGCCACTGCTGGGGCAGAGGATTGGGGTGCAGACTCTGGGATGGCATCTGGGGGTGCAGGACAGGGAGATGAATGCAGGCTCTGGCAGGGAGTCTGGGTGCAGGCTCTGGGATGGGGCAGGGGTTGAGATGTAGGAGGGGATGCAGGCTGAGTGCTGTTTCTGTGAGGGGATGGGTGCAGGCTAGAAGTAGGTTCGCTGTGCTCCAGAGCCCCTTGTGTGAGTCAGAAATGCAGACAGCAGTTCTTATCCTACAACAGCATCCAGCTGAGGCTCTCAAAGCACTTTGCAGAAACCGCCTCTCCTAACCCAGGCCTCCCAGGGGAGGGGCTATCCCATTTACACCCCACTACAGACTAATGAGCTTTTACTTGCTCAAGATCACATGATGTATTAACTACCCATTGCTCCTGCTGCTGGGCATTAGCTGCCAACCCATCGCACCTCCCCCAGATTTGTTTGCCCTGTCCCCTGGAGTTTACAGCTCCTGCTGGCATGTCCAGCCAGCCAGGCCTGACTTGCTCACCTTGGCTGCAGTGGCACAGAATTGGAGCATTAGGAGTGAGTGACTGGTGTGCTTGGATGTGCCTGCACAGGGGACTGGACTTGATGACGCTTCACAGCCCTACCTCCACCTCATCACCTATTCCAGCCCTACCTCCTATCATTCTAGTAGTTACAGGTTAGCTAAGGGGCTGGTTAGCTGCAAACATTGATTACAACAGTCTCATAAAAGAAGCATCTGCCAGAGACTCATGCAGGATCATTTGCTGCTCTCATTTGAGATGATGGTTACAGAGCCAGTAGCTACAGCTTTAAGGTGTGTCCATTAGCAGCCTTGGTATCAAGCCAGTACTTACATGGCATGTGCCTCCTTTTGCACATTACATCCAGAAGATGCAAGCTGTGCTGTAAGCCAGGATCAAACCAATATGGGGTTTAACTAAATGAGGTTTGAAGTCCATTTAAGTAAAACACATGGGTTTTCTACCAAGCCCTTTGAGTCTGCCTTGAGATTACCCCAAGCCCTTTTTCTCTAGGGCTGTCTACATTGGCGTGATCTTGAGCAAAAGCAGCCGCTTTTGTGCCAAAACTTGCTGCCTGTCTACACTGGCCACGAGTTCTTGTGCAAGAACACTGACATTCTAATGTATTAAATCAGGGCTTCTTGCGCAAGAACTATGGTGTCCCTGCTCAGGACTAAGCCCTCTTGCACAACTGTTCTTGTGCAAGAGGCCAATGTAGACAGGCAACATGAATTTCTTGTGCAAGAAAGCCCTATGGTTAAAATGGCCATTAGAGCTTTCTTGTGCAAGAGAGCATCTACACTGGCATGGATGCTCTTGCGCAAAAGCACATCTCTCACACAAAGGCACATGCCAGTGTAGACGTTCTCTTCTGGAAGAATTTTTGCACAAGAACTCTTCCGCAATAGAGTTCTTGTGCAAAATCATGCCAATGTAGAAGTAGCCCTGTTACAGTGCTAGAGTAGTAGCATGATTTGGGGAGAAATGAGCAAAAAAAGCTCCTGTCAGTGCAGGAGACAGTGTGCTAATCTAGGGCGCAGCAGTAAATTGATCAAAGCTAACATTTGAAATCAAAATTCATGTTCTGCAGATTTAGAGGAAAGGCTCTGTCCATCTAGGACCATGCCTGGATTATCAAGTTAAAAGCCTCGCTTAGGCAGTCACGAGATACATACAGTACGTAACTAGCAGGGATCCAGATTCAGGCAGGTGAGTTTTTAGGTGCTAGGGAGTAAGTGTTTGGGTGCATCCCCCATGGGAAGATTAATAGAGTCAGTCATGGTAGGGTGGATACTTATATGGATGGGGATTGTGCCTAGACAGACTTTCTATAGGAAGATACAGTCTGCAAGGGAAGAATTTGGGCTACTTCCCTGACTGTGTCCCTCACTGGCAGTCCTGCTCATCCATCTTTGGAGTGTCATGTGTTCTGTGCATATATCCCTCAATCATCCCAACAGTCAGAGAATCACCAGCCCATGCTAACAGTCCCCTCTGGGAGTTGCTTGATCTGCCTGTGGGCAGAAAAAGGGAAGTATGACAAGGAGTCCGACGCTTTTATCATCTGAACTCCTCTCATTGGACAATGGGATGGGGAGCAAGACACAGGGTGGTGTTAAAGCTCATGGCTGGTTTGTGAAATCACAAGTGAGCCAGACTCTTCTTTCTAGGGCAGATAAGCATTAGTCTGCTCTAGTCAATTATTCCCACATACCATCACTGGATATTCATTGCCATCATCAGTTTCTAGTAGCACCACCATCTTGTGAGCTTTCTCCAGTGTTACTGCACATCACCTTATTTCCATCAGCTTTAAATCTGTTCCCTCTTCATCAGCTGTCCCCTTGCTGTGTCCTAGCATCCCAATTAACTATGGCAGCTGCACTGAGCCACTCCTGCAGTGCCCTGAAATTGAACTCCTAAAAAGAGAACACTTTTAGGGTCACAGCAGTTGCCTGACCCCTTAATCTGACAGAGGCTCACTATGACCTGCAGAGCACCAGCCCCAAGCCTGGCTGTTTGGGCAGGAGATGCTACTGAGAGGTGTTTCATCTATGTCTTTAATCCAGCGATAGCAAAATGAGTTGATCAGCATTCACATATTGAGGGGCAGCTGCTGAAAGTTAGAGAATAGAAGAACCCACAGCACAGAGACTAGAGCTGAAGTTTCAGAGCAGGCCTGATAGAGCATGGTTCACAAAAGGTGCTTTGGCCATGTTGCTTTTGCGTTCGAGTGGTGATGTCAAGGAGCTCAGATACCAGTACAGGCAGTCCCCGGGTTACGTACAAGATAGGGACTGTAGGTTTGTTCTTAAGTTGAATCTGTATGTAAGTC